ATATTTCAGCCCCCCCCCCCCTTTATTTATTACAAAATAAATAAATCTGTCATCATTTGCTCAGCCTCATGTTGTTCCAAAATACTGTGACCTTAGAACCCAAAAAAAGATATTTTGAGAAATGTCTCAGCTGATTTTGTCCACATACTGATAGTCCAGTTTTGTTTAGACTGCAACGTTCCCCAAAGCATATTTTAGAGGAGGATTGAAAACAACTGAGCTTTTTCAAGCATCATTCCTGTTATGCAGTAAATTTTTTATATCGCCATCATTTTGTGTAAAACATTATACTTAACATTGTTAAAACATTTTTTGCTTTGGTCTATTTTGGTTTCAGTTTTGTAATGTTAATGTATTTATAGTTTATTTAAACTCATAAATAAAACTCATCCTACTACCAACACTGTATTTTACACTTTCTATGGCCAGAGATTTTTCTTCTTCCATTACAAGCATGGACTAAAACCCAACAATATGTGTTCTCCATTCACACAACTGCATCACTCCCTTCTGTGTGTGTCTCTGCAGAAGCCTTTGAAAATACACACCCTGCAGTGAAATCCCTGTGGAAATGTATTTTCATTTTATGCCCCTGCTCTCCTGCACACAAACTGTAGACTCTATACCCACGCTTTTTCTTACAAAAAAAAAAAAACGCATTGAAATGATATATGTTGCATACCTCACCTCACCTCACCACCATGTAGTATTACATCACCAAATTTAGTTATGGTAATGGCTTGTTCTGTGCTGTCCCTCTGTTGCCAGGCAGCTTGATACAGATTGTGTGGCGAAAAGTTCCTGAGCATTTGTTAGCAGGTTTCGGATTGGCCACGCTCTGATTAGCACTGCTATGAAAGACTTTTATACTTGGGTTAACACTATAACCACTGCTAATGCTAACAGCAGGGTTAGCGGTTTCAGTAGTACAGCCAGGATGGTGCAGGTCTTCAACAGTGCTCATGCTATGACTAACAGATTTGACGCTCTGAACGGTAGGACTTTTCTGTGCCGTTGCTACGTCGTTGCTCATATCAGTTGCGACAATGCTAACATTAGCTTTAGCACTCAAGCCTGCGTCTTTCACATCCACATCATTAGGAGAAGTACAATGTGTCCTCACCTGGACTGGTGTTTGCTGCGGCGGTGTAGTAAGTAATACTAACGGAACATTATGACCATAAAACAATGTCTGGGGGATTTGTACCTGAACAGATTCTCGCACTTTTCCCTCAACTTTCTGCTCTGTTTCCACCAGGATGTTTTGGGTTTGATCCGTGACCTTTGAATGTTTTAGCATCACTCTTCCTGCAGAAGGAAAGACTGTGATTTTCATTCTGCTCACTTTCTGCCCACCTGAGGCATGAATGTTTGAGTGAGCATTTGGATGCTCCAGCTGCAGCTGACTTACAGAGTTTTCTCCTTTGCTACTGGATTGTTTTTGTGTCATTGTGGGTGTGTTTGTGAGCATTTGTGTGACCTGGGATTCCTGTATCACACTGTCAATCAGATTCGCCTTTGGGACTGTCCATATACTGCATGGATTCAGTGAGATTGCTTGTGAATTCATGTCAGAATTGGGCTCTATTTGACATGCGGTGGAGGAATGTAATGGATTCACACTAAACTCCACGCTGCACACAGTCCCAGCAAGACAATCTGACGCACATGGTCTTGTTGCACCTTTAACCTCATGAATATCACTGAAGGACTCACAGCTTATGGCATCCTCATTCTCGACACTTTCTCCATCCTTTACTGCTCTTTCTCCATCACAGTCACGAAAAGATACTTCAAATTCATTCTCTTTCTCATTTTCCATCTCTTGAACTCTTTCTCTCCAAATGTTCTCTTCCTCTTCGTTAGTGAAAGTACTTGTACCCTGCTTTCTGGACATTTGAGAGGCCGCAGTCTCGCAGTAGCTGAGAGGCCGCAGTCTCGCAGTAGCTCCAAACAGAAAGGGCCGGGGCTGTGTATCTTGAGGGTTGGGAATTGGATCAGCAGAGCTGAGAGACAACATACTATCCAGTGAGCTGAGGGAAGAAGTGGTAGTAGATGACAGACTTGACATGCTGGCCAATCTCTGCGCAGGATGACGAAAGCGGGTGGGGATTTGCGGCGACTTCCAAAAAGTGCAACGGCGTCGTCTTGTACCCATTCCAGAATTGTGTGATTTGCAGGAACTGCGTGACTGCTCATTTCTGCTGTCTGTTACAGCTGCATCATAGCTGGATTGGCGGATAACAGGGCTATGATTTGGTGCTGGCGTTTGGGGTGTGGAAAAATACATGGTAGGCTCAGAGAGGCAACGATCGCGTGATTGGCTGAGTTCCCCAACCCCCAGCATGCTTACAGAAGCACTGGAACATGATGAAATGGAATCCAGTGTTCCACAGCTGTAGGTGACTTCTGTCGACTGCATATCAATATGAAAGGGCTGGGGTCTCCTCTTTTCTTTCAGAGAAAGTGCAGCCAGAGGGAGGAAAAGAGGATGAACTTCAGGCAATAGTTGGGAAGAAACGGTGAAGTCTTGATCTGTGTCCTCTGAAGAGGAGTGCTGAAGAAGATACAAACCATCTAGAGAAGAGAAGAGTTTTGAGATGTTTAACAAAACTTAATGGCTAACACTGAAGAGATATGAAAACATATTTCATTTGGTTAAAAATAAATGCTTATAAAATAAGTGCAATCTTAATTTCAGCCACTGTGGAAAGTGTGTCTAAAAACATAAATCTATCTATATATCTATAAATCTATCTTATATATATACAAATTGACCACAACTGTATGTACTGTATGTATGTGTATGTATATATATATATATATATATATATATATATATATATATACACACACACACAAAAATTTTACATATACTTTGCAGTATCTGCAAAATGTTAATTATTTTACCAAACCAAGAGGCATCATACAAAATGCATGTTATTTTTTTATTTAGTATTGACCTGAATAAGATATTTCATATAAAAGACGTTTACATATAGTCCACAAGAGAAAATAATTTTTAAAAAATGACCCCGTTCAAAAGTTTACATACACTTGATTCTTAATACTGTGATGTTACTTGGATGATCCACAGATGTTTTGTTTTTTTGCTTTGTGATAGTTGTTCACGAGTCCCTTGTTTGTCCTGAACAGTTAAACTGACATGCTGTTCTTCAGAAAAATCATTCAGGTCTCACAAATTCTTTGGTTTTCCAGCATCTTTTGCATATTTGAACCCTTTCCAAGAAAATATTTGAAAAACTTTTGAAAAAAGTATCGCAGTTTCCAAAAAAATCTTTGGCAGCACAATTGTTGCTAGCATTGATAATTCTAATAATAAATCAGCATATTACAATGATTTCTTAAGGATCATGTGACACTTTATACTGGAGTAAAGGCTGATGGAAATTAAGCTTTGCATCACAGAAATAAATTATATTTTAAAAGGATATTAAAATATAGAAACCATTATCTTATATTGTAATAACATTTTGCAAGATTACTGTTTTTTCTGCACTGTTGATCAAATAAATGCAGCCTTGATGAGCAGAAGAGACTTCTTTAAAAAACATTACAAGTCTTACTGATCCCAAACTTTTGACCAGCAGTATGCATGTATGTATATATATATATATATATATATATACACACACAGAGCACAAAAATTGGGATAGTTATGACAGTAATGAACACAGTGACAGTTTCAATGACATTATCTCACATACATGTATTGCCTCGTACATGCGCTCATTGAGCAGACGCAATGAAAATAAATCAAACTGGCTCAGGAGTCACCTCTACTGTAGTTTAAACATCTAGCTAGTTTTTGGAGCAATAATCAGCTGGCTGCCAAAACTACAAATACAATATTCAAGATTATTCTTGAACCCTGCTAAAGTGAGTAAATAAGAACCCAATGACCACTTATAACAGTGGATCAGAGATTCCTGCAGAGACTAGAGATCCTGGCATAAGGCTGGCAACCTGGCAACAGTGCATGAACCAAGCTTCCATGGTATGGTTTAATACAAAGGCAAAGAGTGTGTCAGCCTGTCTGGAAATTGCCAAATGGCACTTAAATGATTCTGAGAGCATGAGGTTCTATGAGATTAAAATTGATAACTATTATGGCAAACGCTGCATTTTCTCCTGGTCAGTTTTCCAGGGATACTCCGGGGATTACTTTTAGCATCAGTGATTGGTGAGCAGGTCTGAATTGAAGAAAAGAGAGAAATCCTAGAAGAATACAGATTCCTCAGGCCAAACGTTTAGATTTCATCCTAAACGTGACAAAAATGCCAAAATCATACTAGAATGACTCTGAAAGAAATGATTGAATTTATGAGTGTCCCACAGCACAGACAAGAAATCCAGTGAAAATCTCTGATTTGATCAGAAAACCACTGGTTATGTTGCATGTATACAGTGAAAATCATGCATATTTTCTGTATGCATACCCTGATGATCAACTACATTAGCTGAATGTGCATATTTGCGGTATTTAATAGAGCTCACTGCAGGGCTATGCAATCCCATAATGTAAAGACTCTTGACCTTCCATTTAATTAAAAATGAACAAGAAGCAATCTTACATCTCACTCTCAGACCTATGGGGAGAGTTCACCCAACACAAAAGAAGATATTTAGAGATTAATATTATTATTTTTATTTATTATTTTTTTATTTGTCCAAACAAATGAAACTCAGTGGCATCAAAGGTAGTTTTCGACCCCTTCGATTTTTATTGTGTGGGCATAAACAGTCCTTCACAGTAGGTTCTTCTTCAAAAGTTTGGAATGACACAAGGGTGAGTAAATGATGAAAGCGTTTTAATATTTTTGGTGAACTAGTCACTTTAAAATGCCAAAAGTATGCTCAACTACACTACACATCTGAATAAATGCCTGGTAATAATGCACTTCCCCATCATTTGATCATCATTTGATGAATTAATGCTGCCATGATTAAAATAAATCATGTATACACATGTATTTTTAAATTAAATTCTATTTAATGCAACATTAATTGCTCTAAGTAGACAGTACTATTTTTGGCACACCTGTTTAATTAATTCTCCCAATAGTGCAATAGATACTGTACATGTGCAATAGGCTGTATGTTGGTATTCTGTTGGCTTATTGGCATTTCAGTTAAGCCTGAAAGCTTAAGAGGATCTTAAGAGAGTAAGGGCTGAAATTTAGAGGAGCAAAGCTGGCATAATAAAACTCTATAACAGGGGTCTCCAAATTTGATCCTGGAGGCCCGGTATCCTGCAGAGTTTAGCTCCAACTTACCTCAACACACCAAATTTCTAGTATGCCTAGTAAGACCTTTATTAGCTGGTTCAGGTGTGTTTAATTAGGGTTGGAGTAAAACTCTGCAGGACACTGGCCCTCCAGGACCGAGTTTGGAGACCCCTGCTCTATAATAACTGCAAACGCAGTTCTAAAAAAGTTTGTTAAAAAAGTTGAAAGTTTATTACTTTCAATAAATTTACCGCTAACTCAAATTCTAAAACACCCACATACACCAGCAGTGTATGTGTGTGTGGGAGTACTGTCAAATTGCACTGTCAAAAAGGCAAATTTTTGTTCTGTAAAGTACCTCAATAGGCATCTACATCTCAGTGAAATGAGGTCCAAAGGGCAAAACTTTACAATTACCTGCGTAGTCACTTGTTTCCTGCCCTGAATTCATTTGCCTGGTGAACAGACTCTCCAGATCATCTCCAAATATGGCAGGCGTGTTTTCAATCAGGTACTGGATGAGTGCGGCGACCTGAACGACAGATAGAAAAACATGAAACATCATCAATATGAAAAACAGACACAGCTGGCTCGCAAACGTAAACGCTGACTGTAGTAGCACATACATCAGAGACTGAAGCACTGTACCAGCTCATAAAGTTTACGACTTGTTAAATGTTTTAAAAAGATTCATGTGTCGGAGCATGTCAGTGTGTATGAGGTGGACATATTGTGTATGCTAGATGACTGCCACCTTGTTTCTGTCCAAGATCTAGAGTGTTTAGACATTAGTTTAGAGTTTTCATAGCACCGCTGTATGTGACGCCAAAGTATGTGTGCATCTGGCATGTGCATAGAGATCCTCACTTCTCTCAATGAAAAAAATCCAATGAATCTTTTACTCCTTGAACATTTCAGATACAAACAAGCCCAAAGGAATGGAAAATTAAAAAGCATACAGAGGGCATGGAATGCTCTCTAGCATTTCCAATGGAAAAACAGCATTTTGAAGACACCATAGGGTTTTGTGGCTGGCAGCAGATGAGTAACTATCCACTGCTTGACTCATGCTGTTTTTTTCAGAAAGCAAATGCAAAAGGCATCATCCCACGTAGTCCTGGACATGGTGAACTATTCTAACCACATTAACAATTAGGTGTTCACTCAAATTGCCTGCTCTCATTCACCACACATTTGTCTGTCCACTAATTGGTTGGATTAATTGGGTTCGGACACAGCGTGAGAATGCGCTGCATAAATGAACTGCCATCTTTGGATGTTGAGAAACAAAAGCATCTGCACAGTGACACACATCCAACTGCTAATTATAGATCCATCCATGATTCATCTCTCGCTTCATGTTCTTTTAAAGTCCCCAGGAAATCAACCAAATGTATATTCCAAATGATTTATCTGTGCACATCATTTTCTCAAAAAATTAAAAACATTACCTTCCCATCCCACTTCGCAGCGGCATCTCTTCTCTGATCATGTCTACACCGGTGCGAGAGCAGGACAATAATCCATCCCTTCTGTCAATCACATGAGATCGCAGCAATAAGCAAATGGCAATGACCCAACAATCCAATCGATTCCCGATGGACAAAATCAAGTCCTGTCCCACATTCTTTCCATTTCACAAGTGATCACAATTTCCGTTTCATGCTGACTTTAATTATTTCATGTACATTTTCTATATTTTACTACTCCAGCCCTCATTGAAATTCTGTATGTAGTTGTTAAGCATCCAGACTATTAGCTGTGGTTATTGTGTGCATAAAAGCTTACATGACTTGACCTTATAGCAATTAATCCCTGTGTCCAACAGGGATTAACTGTGTCCAAGCATGTAAATCTTGTCAAATAGTAGATACAATAAGAGTTCAAATAGCTAATAAAAACATCACAATAACCCACAAGTAATCCACACGACTCCAGTCCATCCATTACAGTTTTTCTCGATTGCTAAAACACTATAACCAGGCTTTTGAACTAAAATTTCAAAACCATAACGCCATTTTTCAAAAAGCACACCCATTTTGCTGAACTATAAACACTATTCCCCTGCTTTAACACATGAGTCAGATTTGGTGAACCGTTACTGCAAAACTCTACACACAAATCCCTACATTTCTCAGTGCTTACACCATGTGGTCATTTAGAAAGCACTAGCATTCAATACTGTTCACTCAAGTCAGCACAGCTTGAGCTCAATTAGCAAAAAATTACCCAGGTGGAAACACTAAGAGTCAAAATTGAACACACATCAATCAGATCCTTCAATAAATAGATAAAAGGGCCCGAATCAGTTCACTGAGCTTTGGAACAATGGATCCACAGAGAAATGAAGGAATAGGTCGAAGAGGAAGAGGAGGAGGAGGAAGAGGAAGAGGAGGAGGTGGAGGGAGAGGGAGAGGAAGAGGACGTGGTGAAGGAGGAGGGAGAGGAAGAGGTGAAGGAGGAGGAGGAAGTTTTTTTTTTGAAAAACTGTAATGTCTTATGAAGTGAAACCTGCGTGTTTGTAATAAACAAATACGGCTTCCTCTATCCATAATTTTGCTTTCACCAAATAGTCATCTAGTCTGAAAAATATTCACAGATCAAGGACCGTTTTAAAAACAAAAAGTTCAAAACAGTTTTAAGCAAACATATCGGTGGATTTTGATGTGAAAGAACAACAGGGGATGAACTTTTTCACTGGAGGAATTGGTACTATGAATTAGGGACTCGTATTTTGAAGGGTTAAAGTCGCCTTGATGGATTTTCTTAATAATAATATTTAACAATAATCAGCGGTTTGGATTCTCATTCTTATGGCACCCATTCACTTCAGGATCTATTGGTGAGCAAGTGATATGATGTTAAATTTCTCCAAGTCTGTTCCAATGAAGAAACAAACTCATCTGCATCTTGGTTGGCCTGAGGGCAAGTCAATTTTCAGTAAATTTGTATTTTTGTGTGAACTATTCCTTTAATTGTAAAAGTTAAAGGTTCCAAGAAGAAAGTTTCTACATATAGCTCTTACACGTTCATGGTGGTAATGTGGTATGTTATTTACCAAACAACACAAAGGGTTAAGTAAGTCCGGAAATATATGACACCTGCAAACCTCAACCTAAAGATTGCACTTCATCAGAAGTCAAGAAGTCAGTTCTTCATCAGTTTCATTACATCTTGTGAAAGTATGGAAATTCAGCCCACGTTTCTTTCTTGTGACAGTTCTAATCCATAAACTTCCACAATTTCTCATGGAGGTTATAATATTTACAGATGCACTTTACATACAGTACTTCTCAGAGTGAAACGCAGAGATTTGATCACAGATGCTACTTCTCAGACAGGCTTGAGATCTAATGAATAATGTTAATGAAATTTCACAAATAATATCAGTCAGAGTACTGGACTCGTATCAGTTTTTGCCTGTCATATTCCAGTAAATAAGTTGCTATGGAGACCATGTCTAATAATTGTCATCTTTAGATAACCAGGCAACACACTGTGCTATGCTTTTATACACAAGGAGGAATTTCATTCACATGCCCGCCATGGACCTTAAATTATCGAAATTCCTCTCCAATTACACAGCTCTGATGTCAATCATCTCAGGCTCAGCTGTGACAAAGCTGAGCTCTGCTTCCTCCCAATTGCTCCCAATCTCATTTTCAATCTCTCAAAATCACACAGAGATCACCACCTCAGGTCTTTTCATTGGCTTCCTATATGATAGACTCTGATTGCAGACTGCTGTGTTACCAGTGTCCTACAAGCCATGATGAAACACTGCCAGCAGCTGCCGCCAGCTGTGCATGGTTGAAATGTTTATCCTCTCTCTAAATGAAAAGCTTTTATGTCTAGATCAAGAAACTTCTCCATCCCTGTCAGCCAGTCACAGCTGATTTTTTCTTTCAATAAATATCACAGGCCAAAAAAATTACCATCCAAAAATACTTCAGTAAGCTTTGATTTAAAAAAACAAAAAAAACACCCCTAAATTTGAACCTAGTAACCAAACCCGACTATATATACTGACAATAAAAAGTTCAAATTATGATCAAATTATGCCCTTGGTGGTACTAAAGTTCTCAGTATCTGTCTTTCACTAACTGCTAATACACTGCCAACTAGATGTATTTTTATGGTAAATAAACTATAAAAACAAACTCTATATAATTTCAGGGCTCAGCAAAATATTTGTTTGTTTGTTTGTTTGCTAGCTAGTAGTTGATCTACTAGATTAAATAACAGTAATTTTTACTAATAGTTTATTTTTTAAAAAGAGATCATTTTAGCAACATTTTTCTAATTGTCAAAAAATGTTTTAAAAGTGTTCTTTGTAATAAACAATTAATCAAAAACAATCTATTAATATATAGCTGCACTGTAAACCCGAATAAGTTGAGAAAACAAAAAAACTGAGGTAATCAGTTACATCAAATTTTTAAAGTTATGATGTCTCCAATTTTAGGCAAACAGAACTATTATTTTTTAAGTGTTGTAATCATGTATGCAAATTACTCTTAACGTGAAGTTCTAAGTAACCTAACTCATATATTTTGACATTTTGGTCTTCCAAAAGAGGACACAACTAGAAATCAGTGGTTAAGTTGTATTTACAACACTGTTCCAGAACAGTTCAAACCAAATATTCAGATGTGTGCAGCACATTTTACGGAGGACGAGGACTGTTTCCTGGGAGAGTAGCCTACAATGCCGGTGTTCCGGTGAATTCAGTTCCCCTGTTTCCCCTTCGGCACGCATGCTGACCACAGTCTATGATGCTGACAAATAATGCTGACTCACAATCTGTAAGTACGTTTTCATATTTAAAGGATTTGCGGTATCACAGTATGGTAAGGGACGTAACATTTCCGTCACACGCTTGAGGAATTCGGCCAATCACAAAGCACTGGATAGCTGGCCAATCAGAGCACACCTCGCTTTTCAGAACGATGAGCTTTGTAAAAATCTACGCGTTTCAGAAAGGCTGGGCATAGAGGAGAAACAATAATGTACATTATGTGGAAAATAATGTGTTTTTTGAACCTTAAACCGCATGAACACATTTCATTACACCAAATACACAAAATAAGCAACATCATATGACCCCTTTAATGATTTCCCTGCTTACGTTTGTGTCAACATCCTGTTGATAAGACAGATCCCTTTGGTGACATCAGGAAATCTGATTTTGCTAAACTGCTAAAGTTAACAAGCAGAGCAAGATGGCGGCCATCAGATGCATTACAATTCATTATCTGAAGGGTGGAGAGAATCATTTGCAGCTTTAGGCTAAAAATACTGGATAAGTCACATCATTATCAAGGTTTCTCTTGAATAATAAGCAATGCACAAAGCAGTTCTGTATGATTTACAAGTGTGTATGTGCGCTTAATGAATGAATACATATTGTGTAGCTGTTTCAAAGAACAGTTCGCTATTTATGATATAATTAGCCAAGTGGCCACTAGCTACATTAAGAATACTTTTAAAGTCTTGTATGTTCATTACCCGTGAATTGTCACAGTTATGTAGGTCTTATTTCAGGTTTTTTGTCTCTACTAGCTATTTAGTTCTTGTTTCTAATTCTTGTCATGAGTCATTATAGGAATCCAAGTACAATTTCTCTTAAATAAACCATGGGGTTCAAAAGTCTGAAAGCTCATTAAAAATCAGGGATTTGAAATGTCATTTAAACCAGAAAGTAAACAAAGTAGGATTTTGAACATTTTAAATCATGAAAAATATAAATAAAACCCAAACAAAATGAAAAAGTTTTAATGTAAAATAAAATAAATACTTCAGATTTCTAGATCACTAATCAAATAAGTATTTTAAGCATAATATACTCTTTAGATCATTCTCAAATAATGACAGAGAACATGATCATTAAAAATTCTGAAAATATTGTGCTAATAACATAATTTGTAATGACAAATAGTTCTCAGACTTTTGATCCCCATTGTATATACTGATTTTAACCTAAAAATGAAGATTGAAATTGAATATTGAAACGGTTAATGGACATGCTATATACGATCCCATTAAACAAATTAGAAAATACATGTGAAATGATCGTATTACTAAGAATACATGTAACCAGATGTTTGCTGACTTACCTGCAACACACTCTGTCCCTCTTTGTCAGGGCTGATTTGGGAAGACCTCCAGAGCATGTTGGGTGCAATGCAAAGTGCCAGGTTTGTTGCTGTCATCTGATTCTCCTCCGAGTGAGTGTGTATCCTGTGTAGCACTCCAAATAAGAGACACAGCAAGGTGACATTCTCCTCCGGCAACTGTGCAAGCAAACTAGACAAAAAGACAATAGAGCTTAAACAATGACAGGCAAATGCAACCAGACAAACAGAAGCATAAAACACATGCTTAAATAATCTTGCCAACAAATTATTATGTGCAGAAGTTCGTCTGCCCTCTCATACATATGAAAATGCATTCCAGTACAAATATGCACACACACACACACACAAAGATAAAACAACGGGTGTGCATAAACAAGTGAATATTAATATCACTCTGTAAGAAATTTTCAAGCAATAAGCAGTTGGCTTGGAATCTGAATTTTTCAAAAGGTAAATCAAAATGTAAAACTCAGAACAGCAGAAGGAAATATTATCACTGTTTGCCTGCAGTAAAATGCTTGAGTGGCACTTTAATAACTCAGACCAAAGACAGGAATTTCTACGATGAATATCTATTCAGATATTCTGAAGAACTAGTTAAAAGGATATGTTTCTTCAATACCCTGAGGCAAGTTACAGTAGATGCAAACAACCTAGAGATCAAGGTCATTGTATAACAGATTTACCACGAGCAAAACAACGGAATCTGAATATTTAATTATTTTTTTTTATCAATTTGAATTCTTAGATTTACCTACTTATTACACCTGTCATTTTGGAAAGTTAATAATAAAAAATAAATGTTTGTTAATAAATAAAATAAGCTCCTTTTAATGTTCCCATTAATTCACGCTATTGTCACCATGTACAGCTTTACAATGTGATCTATATTTTTACGAAATAATTTATACAAACTTCGATAAGAGTTGTCCATTCTGAATTCCATTATTTTCTAGTGCTAAAAAAAATGTCAAACGTTGTCTAGAAGAATTCGGACCAGAATGGAGGTCTTCAACCTTGCTCCTAAAGATCAGCTGTTCTGCATAGTTTTAACTCAAACCTGGACCAGCTAATCAAGCTCTTAGGACTACCTGAAAAATCACAGGTGTTTTGAAGGATGTTGGACATATACTGCAGAACAGTGGGAGCAAAAGCAGAGTTGCAGACTTCAGGACTAGAAAACGGAGGAAAATGAGAAACTGTGAAAGCACAATTTTTTTTTTTTTTTTTTTTTTTTTTAAGAGCACAGATCAACAGGATTCAGATGTTTCTGAGAAATATCATATCAATTAAAAATCTACCAGCTGAGCATTCATGCTGCTGTGCTCCCAAAAAACATTTAATAACACTTTGCTGTTCTTTCCTTACAACAGCTGGTCCTCACACTAATTAGTTTCTTTTTCTAATTAGTTCAAATAATAGGTATTTATTTTATATTTAAAGATAAATTGAGCGTCATCAGTTGGACTCTCCATAGGTGTAATTTTTTATACTGTACAAACTGTATTTTCTATCCCTTACCCTAACCCTTATAGAAAACTACTGCCATTTTTTTATTTTCAAGGGAAAAAAACTGTTTTGTATGTTTTTTAAGCCATTTGGTTTACAAGGACACAGGAAGTATCCTCATAAACCATGTTTACGTCGTGATACCCATGTCATGGACAATTTGTGTCCTCATAAACCATATATTCAAGAACACACACACACACGCATAGGATTAGGTTTAGAGATGAGGGAGGGATTATCTATATAATTGCATATTGTAACTAAAATTATTGTCACTGTACATTTTTCTGACTGCTTCTTTTTTATATTGTTGAAAAGTAATTATATGTTTAGGTTTGAGGATACGGTTAAGGGATTTAAAATATATCTATAAAATGGCAAATGTAACTATATAAATAGATTTATGATATAAAGCATTCATAAATATTTTGTTTCTATATTTGTTAATATGTAATACTGCTTATGTTTTAGATGTTTCAGCATCTACCCAAATGTACATAAAAGTATGTTTTTGCTGTAAATGTTATGGATGAATACCTAAATGGCTGCTTTCGTGTCGGAAACAATACGATGCATTTTTCCAGAAGTTTCACTGATAAAACACTTAAATGAGTCTTAAGCTTTTCATTTTTCACGTGAGAAGTTTGTATTTCTTTAATGCTGCTATGAAAGTATAAGCGAGTTTTTAGTAGCACATGCAATAATGTGAGTGTTGCCATGGCAAAGGGATGTCAAAATATCCTAATGGACTAACCATTTGAAGTATAATTACTATGTTTCCTTGTCCTTAAGAGCAGGACCTTTGTAAATTACTCTCTCACTTGCCTGTTACTTGAAGTCTTCTCATACTGGTCTACTTAAGAGTTATTGCCCATAGACTCTGGAAATCAGACTTTCAGAATCTTTGTGACACCTCTTTTTTCTTACTTTCAGTAGATGCCTAAAAGCTTTTTTTCTGTGTATTTTCTAGTCTCCGTTCCATGAGCTCTTCATAAAATCTCCTTTCAGAATTATGTTTTTTTGTGTACTATGTTTCTTCACCTGGTATGTCAAAGTGATCTTGTGAGTATTCATGTCTTTCATGTAAAATGAGGTTTACACATGTAAAATATAACTTTACAGATCAGTTGATTCTATTGTATTTATCAACAATGAGATTATGTTTTCAATCGTCTACAAGCTCTTTAGGACTTCTTGCTAAAAAAATTCAACACTCATTGAAAATTAAAAATTTGTTGCCTTAAAAAGTGTTATGAAAAAGGTTTTTTGTCAATGATATAAAATGCTTATTGACTCTTGCACGCATCAGTGACAAGCAGTGACTTCCACACAGAGGCGTGTTTAGAGTTTTGGGGGCCCTAAGCAAGTGTTCCCAGGCGAGGTATAAATTACATTATGGGGGGTGGGTTTGGGTTCCCCCTCGGTTCAAAGCATGTTTGTGGTTGGTTAGTGAACCCCCCTCTGTACAAATCACGTTCTGCAGGGTCCTCCCAAGACCACGGGCCCCACGCAATTGCGTGGTTTGCGTGGTGCCTAAACAAACTACTGCTTCCACAGACACAAATGCATGTCACACACGCTCCTCAAAAATGTTCACTTTGATTTTTATTTTGATTATGGGATATAAAAAGGATTTATGTAAATAAAACATTTGAGCAATAATTAAAACCATTGTTTTAGATATAGATCAACCAAAAATCATCCAGGTGGAAATGTGGTCTTAGTCTGTACACTTTATACATTGAGTGTGTGTATGTGTGAGCATATGTAGAGTACATAAGTATGTTTGTAAGCTGTTCTCACCTTCTGACTCTGTTAAGTCTTTCTTGTTGATCCTCAGTCTGTAGCACTTCCATCCAGTCCTCATATAAGTCACAGCACAAAACACCACCAGGCAGTTTGCGTAAAAACTCCACAATAGTTAATCAAAGCCAGGGATTCTAAGACTTTTCAGTCAGCCAAACCCCTTCCACCTAAAATATTTATAAAATAAAATATAAATAATAATATAAAATATTGATATTTCAATACATTAACAACACATTCATATGTTCACAGTTCTCTGATGTAGATTAATGATCATAAGACATGCAGGTAATCCATAAAAAATTCACATTTTTAAAATATTTATCTTTTTTTTCTTCTATTTTTGGTAACAGTTTTATTGTGATTACCTTTCATTTTAAAATACTTATTTTTATGATTTGATTAATAATTAGCTTTTCATCAACTCACAAACCCTCTGCAGTTCCCTCACAAACCACAGTTTAGAAAACCCTATTCTAAGCAAATGATAGACAGATGCTCAACCTGACCTAAAATGACCATGAAATGAATGGCAATTTTAATGTCTTAATGACTTATGTAAATGTGTTTAACCTCCATAAGTGTAGCTCTGTCACAGGGATAAGCCATTAAGGATTTGACCTTATCTTGAAAGGGTAAAAAAATAAAAAAATATAATAACAATAATATACCTACAGTATGAAACCAGTGAACACCTAAATATCTAGCTGCTAACAGTGTGCTCTTACATTGGCAGCAGATAATATATTTTCGTTTTACAGCTAAAATATTCATGGTGACACAGTGGTGTTTATAAATCAGTAGCAAAAACTGTAAAAAGTAATTATACTTTTAAATATAATAGCTTTTAAATTCAATGAAGCAACTCAAGAGTTTCTTCGTTACTAGTTCTAAAGTGACATTTTCTAATTAGTAATTAGCTTGGGCTCAGCTGTTAAACTGTCAACTTGAGATTTGTGGTGGAAGGAAGTAGTTCCGCATACAATAGCATTTTAAAAGACACCCAGTTCTTGTTTCTTATTTATTTACACACTTGTGCCATTAAACTGTTGTATAAAAGCAATATCATACTTTTAGTGTGATATATAGATATAGACAGGGGTGCACATGTGGTGTACATGACCAAAATAAAAAATGCACTGTGTTAATAAGTTCAGACCACTCATTTGCATACCGATATGGCAGAGAGAGCTCAACGTGCTGCAAATTAAAAAAAACATGCAAATAGAAAAAACACCAACAAATTAAGAAAACATCATCAGTTTTTGCTGCAAATACTCGCAACACAACCAAATACAGAAACGCGCTGCAAACAGGCCTACGCATAGAGCACATCGGAAATGTTTAAGGGAACCTCAACAAGTGACAAACCTGGCTGGGACATGCTTATCAATGTCTACTCTGAAAGGTGAAATTTTTGTTTAACATCCTGATATTTTTGGAGATTCTTTTTTTTGGATATTATTAGCCTAAATAAGCTGACGAAATACACAATTACTACTGTGAAACGTTATGTAAGCTGGCTAGCTAATTTTCACAACTTCCCTTACGAAAATTAACCATGGTTTTACTATATATATATATATATATTTAAAAAATGGTTACAATAGTTAAACCATGGTAACCACAAATTAACCATGGTTTTGCTAAACTAACCATAGTTTAACCATGGTATTTGTAAAACTGTGGTTATAGGCCTACAAATGGTAATCAGTATGCCAAAAAAAAGGGTTATTACACTTTCACTATGGTTAATTTTCGCACGCGTTGTGGGGTCCCCTTGAAACATTCGCTGAGCAAACTAAGGGACTGTCTCAAAAGTGCATAAAAATAATAAAAAAAGATATGCATTCCAAGATTCTAAAACAAGCAAAGCATCATGCAAATAAAATGTGAAGATGTGAATTAAGTGGAAAAACATTCATACATAAAGCTGTGAACGGGATAGTCACTATGAATTGTTACATTGTTATTAGATTGTACTCCAACATTTTCTTTTAACTGATAGAAACAGGTGTTGTTATGGCACCTGTAATATATTCAGTAACACTTTTAACACATCATACACGACTTGGATTTCGGAAATGTCATTTTGTCTGTTTTAATAGAATTTTTTTTTTACATATCTATATAACTTCCTGCCTTTGTGACCGATGTCACACCAGTTGTGATATCTTCACACACACCTGTCTTCAGCACACATCATACATGACTTGTATTTTGGAAATATGATTTTGTGATTTTTTAAATGAATTTTTCAAATATACAAAAATCTATATTACTTCCTGGTCATGTGACCCAATGATGTCACACCAGTTGTAATATCTTCACATAATCCTGACGCACATCATTCATGACTTGGATTTTGGAAATATAATTTTGTGTATTTTTGGTGACTTGTTGATGTTATAGACTGACTCAGGGTGAACATGCTCTTTTGCATATTCACACGCAGCCCTAGGGACTTTAGATGATGAAGCAGCCAGGCCCAGGCAGGCGATGCAGTGCTCGTGTGGGTCCAGCGGATCGATGGGGCCCGCGCAAATTCAATAGAAGGTGCCATTGGATGCGGTGAAGAAGTTCTGGTGTGTCTTCGACAATGGCAGCGTGAAGGAAAAGATTCTGAGGCAATTGTCACTCTCGCCACATTTATACTGCCCGCGAGCTTGTCAGTAATTGCATGCGATTTGCATAAGTAGCGACAATTGGCCAGTTTATTGAACTGGCGTTATCCTATAAGATTTCAGGAAATTGGAGAAGGGGAGGAGCTCCCAATCGCAATTCTCGTAATGTTGAGTGAACACTCGATAGGGAACTGACATTTCATTGCCGGCAACCCGCCAAAATAAAAGCTTGCTGATTTTAGGTTTTAAAATAATGAAAATTCATATAAAAATAAAAATTAAATAAAAACAAAAAAGTAAAAATTAGCATTGTTTTTTTAAGTGTACTATAATATAATTCAATTTTTATTTAAATACTAATTTATCACATTCTTTATTATTTTGTTTATTATTTTATTTAAAAATACAAAATAAATAAAGTGAAACAATACGATTATCCCTTTTATTCATTATTTTGTTTTTATAGTTATAATTAATGAGTCACACTATGTGCAGTGTGAGCACCAAACCAAATTTACAGGTGCTCTCTTGACTGAAAAACGTATGTGCACCCCTGGATATAGGGCCATATCGCATGCCTACTTGTGTGATATAGCTCATATATAGCTCTGGGTCCTTCACTATATATTGTCATGTTGGGTTTTATTGTCTATGAGCGCTCCTCATTCATGGCACTTTCACTAAGACAGAGGTTACAGTACTTGAATGATGAGCGCTCATGGACAATAAAACCCAACATAACAAAATATAGTGAAACAAAAAGATCCAGAGCCAGTGATATCCTTACCATTACTGGCTTGGGCAGGTTTCCATCAGGAGAAATGGAGGAAAGAGGCTGGCCAAATAGCTTGTGAGAGGCAGTTTGTGGGTCAGATAGGCCATCGGATTGGTTAAAGTGTCCCCTCCTCAGAGCCCAATCAATCAGAGACCTTTTCCTTTTATGTTTCAGCAAAGCACCTGTCAATGAAACACAACGGACCAATCACACTTTGGCAAATTCATTATTTGGAAGGCTACTATTCTGCTGATTCCAGTTTGTTTAGTTTGACAAATGGTTGCATCTACTTTGTTTTAGAAAGAAGGGAGGGCGGGAGGGAGAGAGAGAGAGAGAGAAAATGGAAAAGTCCTCCTGCAGCTCTGTCGAAGCCTGGGTCTGTATATCATCAACGGTAGGTTACGAGGAGACACTTTAGGGAGATTCACATTTTGCTCACCTCTGGGGAATAGCACAGTTGTTTATATGATAACAGACATAGATCCTTCATCTCTCAGATTATTCACTGATTGAGAACTAACCCCTCTGTCTGATCACAGTCAAATCACTGTGCATCTCAAAAAGACAGAAAATAGCATTAACACAAAGCCCAGTAAGCTGTACAACATCAGAAAGCCATACAGATGGGCTGAAAACAGCGCTGAAGAATATCAGAAAGCACTTAGCAGCCAAAAAATACAAGCGCTAGTAAAACCTATGACCTTATCAAATCAATGTACACTGAAGGTAAATGTGGCGTAAAAATCAGCACCAAACGTACGAGGTATCTTTCCCAGGAGCGTGGAGTGAGACAGGGCTGCTGCTTAAGCCCAATGTTATTTAACATTTACATCAATGAACTGGCGAGCAGTCTGGAGCGATCTGCAGCCCCTGGCCTCACCCTACACAACTCACAGATCAAATGCCTGCTGTATGCAGACGATCTGCTTCTGCTGTCTCCCACTCAACACGCTTTACAGCAGAACCTGGACCTGCTAGAGCAATACTGCCAGACCTGGGCCCTGACAGTCAACCTGAAGAAAACCAGAATCATGATCTTTCAGAAAAGATCCAGATCCCAGGGAACACAACACACATTTACATTAGGCACTAAGCAGATAACACACACATCACACTACAACTACCTGGGTTTGAAAATCACATCCACGGGAAACTTTAATCATGCTGTGAATGAACAGAGAGATAAAGCACGCAGGGCCTTCTACGCCATAAAACAGCAATGTCCTATAGAAATCCCTATTAGAATTTGGCTGAAAATATTAGAATCAGTAATTGAGCCCATTGCCAATGATCTTTAAAATAGCATCATATGACCCCTTTAATGAACACTGAAATGTCCTTAACAGCATTGCCAAAAATCTATGATTGTATTCAAAGGTTCATTACAATAATTGGACACTCATGTAATTGCAAAAGAGAAAAGAACTGGAGCGTTTGCACAGTGGTAACAGTAATTAAATCTTGCTAGGACATTGTTCATCTGTTAGGCCATAAAAAATCTATTTCAAAATATATTGTTTCATAAGACTAATAAAATGTATGAAAAATCTAATTGAAAAGTTCTGAGAAACAAGTTTGTGACATTTACAGAAGAGAAAAGGCCATTGCTTTTATGTGCATAATCATGTTTAGAAATACTTTAGTGACTTTTTACAAAGAACTGCTTTTATGGATTACGGTTGCATGCCGTATTTTCAAAGAAATGTCAAATTCCTCTCACGATAATGTAAATATCTTTATGCTTCAAAGTGATGCATCAAAACAGATAACAGAGAAGAGTCCGTTCAAAAACATAAAACACATACAGTGTACATATTGACGGATTTGACACTTTCCTGACCTTAGCTCATCATTTGACAACTCTAATTATTCATAATTATTGGCTTGCCAAGATGAATCCTGAAGGACATTCAGAGCTAATGGACAAGAGCACAGTAGGATGTAGGTGCATGTTGAATTAATTAGAATTAATTCAATTTATTTTTATACAGATTAAAATGCAGTCAACTATAAGCACAGGTCGTAAGACATCCACAACCACGTGGATCAACAACCTTCTCACACCTTTGATCATGGAAACCTTTAAGTGTGTCCTGGGAAACAAGAATTGGAGGTGGGCACATTCCAGTTTGCCTGCTGGTCATACTTAGAAGGGAGAGGTTATTATGTGATTATAGGAGAACATAAGTCTAAGTGGACGTCCATGACATGCAGAATCCCACAAGGCTCAATTCTTGCACCGCTCTTGTTTAGCCTGTATATGCTCCCACTAAGTCAAATAATGAGAAAGAACCAAATTGCCTATCACAGCTATGCTGATGATACCCAGATTTACAGAAGAGATCAGATGTGCTAAAACATTAGTCACATTTAAATCTAGACTCAAAACTCATCTGTTTAGCTGTGCATTTATTGAATGAGCACTGTGCGATGTCCGAACTGATTGCACTGTATTTTATGTATAATCATTTTCTATTTTTAACTGTCTTAAATTAATTTTAAATCAATTTTTAAATCATCTTCAAAAATGTTTAAATTCCTTGTTTTATTTTTGTGATTATAATTTTTTTAATGATTATTTTACTTTCTTTTATGTAAAGCACTTTGAATTACCATTGTGTACGAAATGTGCTATATAAATAAACTTGCCTTGCCTTGCTGTGCAAACAGGTCTGTCAAGATATTGTAAACCTGGTGCTGTACAATACTGTGCTGGTGTTCTCTTCCATGACTTCACCTTAGGCTGTGCTATAAACAGTTCAGGACATGAACATCCTTTCTGCCACTGGGATCTGCATGCTTTATGAGGAACAGGACACAGACTGCCAGGGTAAATATTCAAGCATATTAGACTCTGGCCATGAGCACTGGAGTAATTTGAGTTTAAATGGCAGCTCCCAGTGCACATTTGTCCAGCCATCATCACTTACAAGAGACAGAGAAGTCACTTTTTCCTTCAGTGAAAATTTCATTTAATACACAAGATGACCTTTCGTGAGTGGGGATATTCTCACAGTACATAAAATACAATTTAATGTATTTTGAAATAGGAAACACAAGGTTTAATAATAATAACATTAATAATAATAATAATAATAATTATTATTATTATTATTATATGGCTTTCCAGCTATTATTTCAGCAAAAAAAAAAAAAAAGAATGATGAAAACCAATCAATTCACTGAACTTCAAAAATGCCAGAGAGCATCTTAAATTGATAAAATATAAGAATTATTTTGGAGTTTGAATGTTTGGAGGTTTAGAATGACATGGTGTATGAATGATGACAGAATCACTACAGTTTTAATTTGGAAGAATTCATAGACATTGTTATAATTTATGGCAGTTTTAAGCTAGGTGTTTGAAACATAAATACACATAAATACAATTTTCAGGATTCTTTGAGAAACAGAAAGTTCAAAAGAACAGAAGACAATTTCAAATAGAAATATTTTATATTTATAAATATTTATTCAAATAGAAACATTTTAAATGTCTTTACCGTCACTCCTGATACATTTTATGCATCCTAGCTGAATAAAAGTATTAATTTCTTTCAACAACAAAAACAATTACTCTCATAATTTTGACTCATAAAGTTACAGTTTTTAAAATACAGGCTATATGCCAATTTGCCCGACATCGCACTACTGTTACACACTGAATCTGTGCCTGCAGAACTCAGCAGAAAACTCAGCAGAACTGAACCGTTCATCAATCACAAAGGTCCATATGTCCCCTGCCCCTTCTAATTTATGAAAAATGTAGGCTTCAGCTACCAATAAGAGTATAGTACTTACAGCTCAATTTAACACATTTTAAATTCATGTTTAATTCCATTCTACAGAATTCCACAAATTTTCCTTCAGTAGATAAAGTGCAGTAAAAGTCAGCAGATTTTGTTCTACTAATGGCCTCTGGACAGCCACATACTGGAACCCCATAAAGAACGAGCCATCAGAAAAGGCACTAGTCTTACTAAGTATTTGATGAAATTATAAAGTTTTACTGAGATAGCCATATGTGTTCTGTTAGTGACAAATGCACTCACCTCTAGGAGAGTGTGTTCTGTTTTTTAGGGTGAAGTGAGGGGTCTTGGGAGGAGCCTCTGTCTGCTGGCCAGAACTAAAGGCTTCCTGCACGGGCTCACTGGGCATGTGCAGTTGATCTTGCTGACTTCTCAGGGAGTGATGCAAGATGAAAAATGGTAGCTCATGGCCTAGAAGCGACAAAAAATTTGACAGGAAGAGACAGGAAATTGGTGTTTTATATTGCAGGAAATTTCATTTACAAAGAACAGTGCAAGGGCCAAAAAAGTGTATTATTGTGTTTATTGCTAACATATTTCATTCTGTATATGCTTGTGTCTGTGTTTAAAAAAAAACCCACAAGTGTCCCTTTTTGACCTTCTTTGTCACTAGTACAAAATCTATATAAAAATCCAACACACACTGGGGTAACTAAGGATTAGTGTGTACTACTGGAAATCCAGATAAGACTTTGGATTAATTTAGACAGTGAAGATTAGTTTGTCTGCGTTTGTGAATGTTTGCGGCTGGCATTTGGAGAGAATTATCCTGAGGTTGTCCCACAATATAGAGAGTGAAACAGGCAGACATAAAGAGATTTTAAGTTTAATTGAGTTTTGGATTTTGTTATCTAATACTAAACTGCTCATATCCTGTTGTCTCATACAATAAACCTTACTTGCATACATATGATCTGCAGTCCTACATATGACATGCATATGACCTGCAGCTTTTTTTGCTCTATTATGCCCGGTCTTTCATCACAGAGATGCCATTAAGCTGAGAGTTTCATCATAGCACAGAGTTTTTAAAGACACAGCCTGCAGGCTGAATCACTGGCAATGTCCCTCAGAGGAGTTCAACCAGGATGTGGGAAGATTTGAGGAAAAAACATCAAGTCATGCTTAAAACATTATACTAGTATTATATATTATACCAGTATTATATATATGTGTGTGTGTGTGTGTGTGTGTGTGTGTGTGCGCATATATATATATATATATATATATAACACATTCATTAATTTTCCAAATCACTTTTCCTATGTAGGGATGCAGGGATGCTACTACAGAAGAACTCTTTAAATTTCGTACATTTTAACTAAGCTAAGTTTGTTGAGACACACACTCACTGAATGTTGGTGACAGATAGATAGAAAGACAGAGAGACAGACAGACAGATAAGACCAATTACATTCAAATTCCAACTCATGGACTGAAAGGGAGGAAATTCTTCAATATTCTGTATTTTTCCCAAAGCTGATGATATACAGTATTTATTTAATGATGAGTTTGTCTGAGAAGCATGCCTTGCGATTAAAATGAGCCATTTATATTTTTTTAGGTTAAACTTTGTGATGGCTTATTCAAGCCATTATTTATCCACCCTAGAGCAGTTTTCTTCTCAATGTTGTTTGAACAATATTCCCTAATTGTCAATTTTATATGTAATCTAAAGTCCTCTTGTGAATGAAATTTGTAAATTCCATGTGCTCCCATCTGTTTTACCCTGATATTAAAGATGCATAACAATAATTTTGGCTCCAGAAGAGTGTGTTATGATAAAGTACTATATGCACTCTGCATGGGTAAACCTGACAGAATCTTTCAAAACCTCCTCATTTGTAAATATATATGTGACCCTGGACCACAAAACCAGTCTTAAGTGTAAATTTTTCCGAAATTGAGATTTATACACCATCTGAAAAAATAAGCTTTCCATTGATATATGGTTTGTTAGGATAGGACAATATTTGGCCGAGATACAACTATTTGAAAATATGGAATCTGGGGGTGCAAAAAAATCTAAATATTGAGAAAATCGCCTTTAAAGTTGTCCAAATTAAGTTCTTAGCAATGCATATTAAAATTAAGTTTTGCAAAAATTATAGGGTTAGGGTTAGGGTTATATATTTACAGTAAGAAATTTGCAAAATATCTTCATGGAACATGATCTTTACTTAATATCCTAATGATTTTTGGCATTTAAAAAAATCGATAATTTTGACCCATACAATGTATTTTTGGCTATTGCTACAAATATACCCCAGCGACTTAAGACTGGTTTTGTGGTCGAGGGTCACATATATATAAACAATAGACATCTATGCAATGTCCCTATTTAGATTAAGTTAACATGAATGTGTGTGTGTGTGTGTGTGTGTGTGTGTGTGTGTGTGTGTGTGTGTGTGTGTTATTGACTCTAAACTTTGAACGAAGTGTAAATAATAAACAAAAGAAGTAAGCATTTATGAGAATGTAGATGTTTCGACTCATAAAACTTTTTGTAAGTTTGTAAGATACAGGCCATGTGTCAGTTTGCCCAGCCTCTCACTACTATTACACACTGAATCTGCACCTGCAGACCTCAGCAGAAAGTTCAGCAGAATTGAACCATTTATCAATCACAAAGGTCCATATGTCCCCTGTCCCTTCTAATGTAAAAAACATTTAGCCTTCAACTACCAATAAGAGTACAGTACTCACAGCTCCACAAATTCCACAAATTTCTCTTGAGTAGATAAGGTGCAGCAAAAAGTCAGTAGATTTTGTTACTACTAATGGCCTTTGGACAGCCACATACTATCGAGAACCCCATAGATAACAGACCCTCACGAAAGGCACTAGTCTTACTACACATTTGATGAAATTATAAAGTTTTATTGAGCTAGCCACATGCATTATTTTGGTGACATATGCACTCACCCCTAGGAGTATGTGTTCTGGGTTTTAGGGTGAAGTGAGGGGTCTTGGGAGTGGCCTCTGTCTGCTGGCCAGAACTAAACACCTCCTGCAGGGGCTCACTGGGCATGTGCAGATGGTCTTGTTGACTTCTCAGGGAGTGATGCAGGATGAAGAATGGTAGCTCATGGCCTAGAAGAGACAAAAATGGAGACAGGAAATTGGTATTTTAGATTGCAGGAGATTTCATTTTCAAAGAACAGTGCAGGGGCCAAAAAAAAGTATTATTGTGTTTACCTTATTGCTAACATATTTCATTCTGTATATGCTTGAAAAAAGCAAGCATAAAGCATTGCGACATTGAGAATAGTTATTGGTTTGTTTTCTGATTCCTCTATAACTAGCACAAAATCTGTATAAAAATACGACATATGGATTAGCGTGCAACCTTCTACTGGAAATTCAGATTTCAGATTAATATTTAGACAGTGAAGATCAGCTTGTGTGTGTATGTGAATGTTTACAGTTGGTATTTGGGGAGAATTATCCTGAGGTTGCCCTATTACAACATAGAGAGAAACAGGCAGACATAGAGAAAGTTTAATTGAGTTTTGGATTCTGTTATCTGATCCTAAATCTCTCATATCCTGTTGTGCAGAGAATTCATCAATAGTAGTTCATACAGACTGTTTTCTATCTCTCTTGGGAATCATAAAGCCTTTTTTTTCTATAATTCTTAGTCTTTCATCACAGAGTTGTCAATGAGCGGAGAGTTTCATCACAGCTCAGAGCTTTTAAAGAAACCTTGCAATCACATCCCACAGAGGATTTCAACCAAGATGTGAGAATATCTGAGGAAAAAAACATCAAGTAATTCTTAAAACATTATACCAGTATGATATATTCATTAAAAAAAAACATTCATTTATTTTTCCTATGTAGGTGTGCAGGGATGCTGGAGTATAATATACCATTTTAGCCACAGAAGAACTTTGTAAATACTCTTTTAATTATGCATGACATCTGTAAATAGCTGAAACTAGACTGACTGTAAGAGACACAACTGGCAAACTAATTAATTCTCCAACTTTGAAACTTGTGAATGTAATTTTTTTGGGCATAACAACAACAGAGAGACACACAGAAAATATTCTAAGCAAAAAGTGAATTTCACAAAAGAAATGCAAAGTTTGTCAAGACAAACTCTGAATGTTGATGGCAGACAGACAAACAAACAGACAGACAGACAGACAATTAAATTCAGATCCCAAGTCATGGACTGAAAGGGAGGAAATTCTTCAGTTCTGCATTTTTCTCAACCATGATGATATATTTATTTGATGTTGAGTTTGTCTGAGAAGCATGCCTTGTAATTAAAATAAACTATACATATTTTTTAGGTTAAACTTTGTGGTAATGTTCCGTTTAGATGGCTTATTCATACTATTAGATTCAATATTGTTGTTTGAACAATATTCCCTAATTATTAATTTTGTATGTAATCTAAAGGCCTCTGGTGAATGAAATTTGTTGAACCCTGCATGGGTACAAATTAAAAAATTGGCACACATAAGGAAACATGTTTACCAATCCAAAAAAAAACTAAGATTAGTTTGCCACCCCTGATCTATCATGAGTTCCCAATTGCTTTAAAAAGTATCTTCATACTGTATGTTTGTGTGTGTACCTACTGTACTTAATATTTTGGGGACAAAAAATAGGGTAACACTTTATTTTAAGGTGTCCTTGTTACACCTGTTACATGTACGTACTATTATAATAACAATAAATCATGCATAATTACATGCAAGTAACCCTAATCCTAACCCTAACCATATAGTAAATACATGCAGTTAATTAATATTACTCATTACTTAAATGTATAATTACACTGTAACAAGGACACCTTAAAATAAAGTGTAGCCAAAAAATAGTAAGCTAAACTTGACAGAATCTTTCAAAACCTAAAAATAAAATAAATCAAGCTGTTAAGGTTAACGTGAGAGTATGGGTTAGGGTTAGTTTAAAGTATCTATAACTAGCTTTAAATCGTCTATATGCAATGTCCCTATTTAGATTAAGTTGATGTGTGTGTGTGTGTGTGTGTGTGTGTGTGTGTCATCACCAATAAGGGGGTATGTTTCCTCTTCTTTTTCATAGTTTACACACAGCTGGTAGTCCGAGACTTCACCCTGCACACAGGAAATGGTCATTACGTTTTGGAAAGAGACAGGAAAGAGGAAGTGGCTGTTATCAAACACAGGAAATGCCAGTGGACAAACTTGGCACAATGTAGAGTTACTGGTGAGAGCAACAGAATGATGTGCACAAAATTATAGAAGCATATTGCCTCAGATGGGTAGGTAGTGAAATCCACCAAGATACATGTTGATATCGGGTGCAAAGAAAAAGCATGTCTCTCTCATTTGGACCACTCCCTTGTACTCAGCGGTGCTTTAAAGAGGATAAATAGTTTGTATTACACTACACTCTCAACAAGAAGCTATTAAGGATCACTTACCAATAGTTTGCACTGCTGCATGATGTACTGAACCACATTTTCTGCGGTCGTGCTCACGTCCACTGCCACAGCAACGGTCTTAACAGCCAATAGAATGTAAACAAACCATAACATTGATCATCAACTCACAATGAAAAGCTTCAGGCTAGAGTACAAATAACTTCCACTTATAAACAGAGACATGAATTCAGTTCCCGGAGGACAGGGAGTAGCTCAAGTCCAAATTAAACTAAAAAGACACTTGTGTACCTCTGAGCTATTGTCATCTGGATGGCAAATCAGCAGGACGTAGAGAAGAATGGCATTTGGCAAGACTTTTTGCTTGGCTCTGCAGGTGTGCCTGAAGAATGAAACATTATTACAAAAACAACAACAAATAAGAAAGTTAGACACAAATACAAAGGCATGGAAAGTCAAGAAAATTGACAAAAGAAAATCACAGAAGGAAAACCTCAGTTTTGAAAGGAAACTTTTGATATATTATATGAAGTTGACGTGAGCTTTTGATTTGTGTTTTGTTTCCTTACCAGTGAAGAGCATGTAACCATCTCTCCTTTGTTTCTGATGAGCTTAGGTTTGGGAGGACAGGTGTAGAGTGAGTGAGAGAGAGAGAGAGAGAGAGAGAGAGAGAGAATGTTAGATTTCATTTCAATTTTCCATTTACAAAGTGCTTGACATTTACCTGCTAAGTAGTACATATATTAAACAGCACACTGGCAAAACGAAGACCAAAAAATTTTACCAAACCAGAAGACACTATTTACATGCCAATAGGCAGAAAACAACACTCTCCTCATACAGTCCTAAAAACAGAAGTGAGCCAGCATGATATACTTCTTGTTTGTAATTTGCTTTTGAAAGCATGTGTATCAGTCATAGAATGTAAAATGCAGTCTCTTTTCTCTCTCACCTGAGCTGACCTCTCCAGCTCCCTCTAATCTTGCAAAGTACTTCATAATGTCACCTTTCAAAAAAACATTTCTCCTCACTTTTGTAGTTAGACATCTGTTCTATATTGTACTGGTGAATTGATATACAGTGCATACAGTTTCAGTTGATTCAGTGCATTTGTTAATTACATGTGTGTGGATTTGTTGCATGCATTTGTGGATTTATGGGTGAATTCCAATCGGATGTGACCATCCCTATACCCTACTCACTTCAAAGGGCAAAGCCCTTAAAGTGAAGACTTTGGAAGGAGCAGGGAAAATGTGTCTCATAATATAGCTTGGACCACACTTGGCAAAAGGAGCAATGAATGACAATGTAATTTCCTAATTATCTTCACCTAGAACGTTACCATGACAATGCAGCACTGTGTCCATCACCCCATTAGCTGTTTTTACAACATGAATCTATTATTGCATAAATATGCATTTTGTAGTTTTTAAATTTCCTTTGTATATTGTGTGTATGTATGTTCTTTCTCTGCTCTCAGCCTTATACAACTTGCTGTCTCATCTGTGGACACAGCAGTCACATTTACCTAATGTATCTACTATTCTTACCTACGAAACTTATGTAAACTTCATATGAGATGCATAACAAAAATGTGTGTAATATTGTATATTACACAAAACAAAACAACTTGTTGTTTACACATTAAGTCACATTCTAGATTTTATACGAATGCTAGAATCGTGAGGACCACAGATGCAGATGATCCCACTGAATTTTGTTACGACTTCCTTTTGAGGAGGTTAAAACCTTATATTATGGGCTTTAGATGTCACGGTGAGATTGTAAAACAAATGCACTTGAGACTTTCTAAACACTTTCATCTTGCACATTTCCTGTCCGATATTTTTCACATTAGTTTCATGATGAACACAAGATGACAGGTGTTACAGTGTTATTTTTTAAAATCTGTCACCAACATGAAAAGGTCATCACTTTTGGAGTGTCTTTGTGATATTAAATAACTAATATCATACTCAGTCAAAAAAAAAAATTATCCTATAATTTGCAGCATACTGTGTGCTTTCCATTTCAAGGTTTTTAACCTACCTTTATCTCTACAACAATACGTCTAATGAAGGACTTAAAATAAGGTTAATAAGGAGTCGAATCAGCACTGTGAAGAACAGAGTGCCGAGCTGAGCTTGAAAAAGAATTTGTGCATGCATTTATACCAGATAATCTGAACTTCACATGAGAATTTAAAATGTGCACCTTATCACGCAGTGTTTTAAGATCAAGTCAGTAGCAGCTGAGTGGGTGGATCTCAGCACACTGGAAGCGCCTAAAGCTTAAACACATCTATTATTCCTTCCCTTCCACTGCAGAATAGTTCTTTTTTTTTTAAGAAGGGCTGCTTCATCTCAAACTCATAAACAGCTTAGAATTTTTCAGTGCTATTGTCTGAATGACATTCAGTGACCATATCAGCCTGGTTTGGTTTGCCAAGATCTCAGATGTTTATGTCATTTAAATAGTTTTTCATAGACTACCTGTAAGTGACGACATAGTTGGTAGCCGGCCAGCCAATCACAAATGAGTTCTTGGAGGTGAGCTTCCTGTCTGTGATGAAATGAACACAGGATGCCAGCCATATGTCTGAGAGGCTAACACGAGCCTTCAGCTTTAGATACAGAGACCTGTAACATGTAATGCACACATTGCATACACGTGCACCCTTAGAGAGACAGATGTCTTACATTTTACACGTATTCCCACTCACTGAAATGTTAACATACTTAGTTTTGGCGATGATAAGCGAATCTGTGAAAAGCAGCAGAAGTCTCTCTCTTGACTGCAAGCCCATGGTAAGGTGAACGTGGGCTTCCATCAAAAGCACTGCATTTTGGGATACATTACATGCCCCATACTCATCACTGCAGAAGAGTGAACAGGTTAATATCACAATAGCGATGAGGAACATTTATTTTCATACAGAAATGTCAAACGTTATCATATTAACTTGAAAAAATTATGTTATGCTTTAACGCAAAAATATAATAAATTAACTGAATTTCAAACTACTTTGAGTCACTGCACTACTGGTAAAAATCATGAGAAAAATAATAAATCAGATTTTTTATTCTATTGACATCCCTTGCTTTTAACAGTAAAACCAAATCTGTATATAGTTTTGTTTAAAAAAGTTACATGTGTGCCTTCAAGAACAGTTGAGTACTAATATGTGTGTTGCATTTTCTCCTATCAGCTTGCTCACTAATGCTAAGGCACTGTTCTATTTAAAGAGGTCATGAAATACATGATTTTAATTATTTTATGTTTTCTGATGTGCACTTATAATCTTAGTTTTTTTTTTTTTCAACAAAAACGGTCATAAAATATATATAGTCATTTTCTTTCTGATTTGAACGCTCTGTTGGAAGGGGCGTGTCTGCTGGAGACGTCAATGTAAACCCCCACTGCTATGATTGGTTAACATCTTTGTATATGAAATAAGCATTACACGTGGAACTCTCTGGAAAACTATTACTGCGTTTTTACAATAACAACCGCCAAAATTTACTAAATGTGAAAAACGTCGATTATAGCATTTTATTTAAACTGCATAAACGTTTGCAGCACTGCACTGCAGCCGAGCACAGTCGTGTCTACTGAGCAAACGATGCAATGATCGATTTCTGCAATTCCAGGAATACGTTCATCATAACTAACACAGTGAAAACACAATGGATATAAGAGACCCGTTGATCAGTGATTATATAATTTTGGCAAAAACGCAGAAATCAAATCACTAACAGACTCAAACAGATCTTGAATTGACGTCTCCGCCGATTATAAAGAGAGCAATCTCTTAACAGATGGTTTTCCCGCTACTAACAGGAACAGTGTGAAGTTTAGTCACTGGCTTGATTCACTAACGCATAAACAGCAGTAAACCACTTTGCATCAAAGAACGTCTGTACATGAGCCCTTACATATTCTGATCACAGGTCATGATGCTCATGAAGTGCAGTTACAGATTTTTATATTATGTTTCTCAAGGTTAGATTATAAAGTTTGCAAAGTTATTTTAAACATGCAGTCATTCTTGTCGTAGAACACGCCTCCTTGATTACATACGACAATGACGCAGGTTAAGGGGTGTGTCAATGGCAATCATGACGTCATGATTTTCCTGATTTCAAATCTGGTGTTGTGTAATATACATACATTTCCCTGTATGTAATATTAATACAGGGAAAATGAAGGAAATCAGTTTTTTTTTTTACCTAAATACAAGTTTAGATGATATTACATAAAACATGCCATTTGTTAATGTAAAATTGCTTTATTCAGTATGCCCTTGTATAGAAGATACATATTCTAGCATGTTGGCAAGGGGTGCACAGTTTGATCTACTGCATTTCCCATGGACTGGGATAAAACAAACTACAGAATCTTAATAATAATATTTGCATGTTTTATACATTCCTTGATAATCACAAATATTGGAATACTTTGTAGCTGGAATGTCTCCATTCTAAACAGCTCAAAAAGGTTTGTGAAAGGTTTGCATGAGCCAAGGTTTACTTGGTGCAGAAAAGCTGAAATATTCTGAGCACGTAAGCACATTCAGTAATGTTTTTGATGTGGAGCAAAAAGAAACAATTTTCACTGAAGGTTGAAGTATCTTCATGAAACCTGTGTACTTCATTGCCACGACAACGAGCTGAATATTACATTAGTGAAGAAAACAATAAGTCAATTTTACATAAGACTACATTGGTATGAACACAACTTTTTTCCCCTGGATGCCTGTTTTTATTGCCGCAGTTCCCTTTCATGGGAACTTCGAACTGCGTCCTCTAGGGGTCGCTATGGGGAACGCCTCGTCGTGACCCGTGTCTGAAGCATACATTGAAAAAACACCAACTTGTTGGCCGGCGACAGCCATGACGTCACTACCGGTGCGACTATAGTATAAATAGGCGCCGGGAG